CGTTTGAGACTATAGTTCATTTCTTTCCCCGGCAATTTCCTTAATCAGTAGGTTATTTCATATCATTTGGTTTACGATGTTGTCAACGGCACCAGATAAACCACTCATTTTTTGCTGTTTTTAAAAGACGTCTTCAAGCATTCTGTAAATGTCACAGACAACTTCATTGGTGCGTTTCAATCTGCTCTGTACCGCTGTGATTTCGCCAAACGCGCCCTCTGGACTTAAAAGGCGGTTACTTAGGCCGTTAATACCCGACGAGAGCTCGTCCTGTATACCAGACGTCTTTCTTTGGTTCCTAGCAATGTCGGAGATAACGATATGCAACTTGGACAGTATTTCGTCACGCTTTGTGCCGCTTGAGACTTGTACACGTTACTAAAAAAGCTAAGGAATTACATTTACAATTTATCAAGGCTGAATTGTAGTTAATTAGAATCGCCATTTTTTCCCATAAAGGTAGGTGACCGCTACCCAACAAGTAATTCGTTGCTTTCGAGGAGTTACTTCCAACATAATTGATTCATCTTTCTGTAAAGGCCCTCAGGAGGGAATTACATCAGGGGGCGGTGGGGCTGTAAGTTGTGGCTCTACAGCCAATAAAACACAGCTAAGGTGAGTGAAAATGCATTGACCTCAAGTAAGATGCCAAGGTAAGAGGGCTATTCAAGTGCTTATTGTTGCCACCTGTTTTATTTACTGACCATGGGATTTTGAGTAACAGCTGACTTTCGAAAGTCTCGGGACATTTTGTGTCATTTCTTACTGAAGACGTCGACTCCTACGCTGAACACCCTTTAAACTCAGACACTGGGTGGGAGTGCCATTATGTGCCTCAGCTGTCTCAGTTTGTAAAGTGATCTCTAAGCGGAGCAGCCTCTGAGTTATCTGATGCCTTCAGAGCCATGCATAAAGAACACCGCAACGAGCAATGCTACAGTTATATTACGGTTTTATCCTCTCCTGACTTCACTACAGTTTCCTATTGCTCAGTATCAGCAGAGCACAAAAACGAGAGATTGGAACTTTTTACAGGATGGGACTAAGAATGTGTCTCGTTCTTCCCCGATAAAGTGCGAACCTTTCCACAGAAGTTGCCGCCGAGGGCTGGCCCGTATAGGAACCGTGCGCATCTAATTCAAGCCCCGACCAGGGCGCCCCTAGCGGCAAGCGGGTCCATTGCATCGGGGAGCTTCTGCCAGTCGCTGCGTTGGTTGTGCGTTGTAGCCGGTTAGCGCTGTAATTTCTGAGATGGCTATTCCGCACCAAGAAAGCCGCAACAATTGCTGCGTGGTCGGCTGCAACAGTACGTCGAAGGTCGCGCACGGCACGAAGTACTACATCGTCCCTTCGAAGCCGTACGAGGCGGAGTACTGCGCGATCTGGGTGCGACTTGTGCGTCCATGCAGGTTAGTGGCGTTTCTTACCTTCGAGTTCGCGCTTTGTTTAAGCTGCTGACAAATAATACAATTAACTTTTTTTCTATTCTAGCGACAATGGAACAGCATCTACACCGACGGCAAGCTCTAAAGTATGCAGCAAACACTTCACCGGAATTGAGAAGCGGAATGCGGTCGCCCACCTAAGCCTACCCTTGGATGTTTCCATCAGCCTACAGTGGGAATCGCGTAACGGCGCGAAAAAAATCGCCCAGTTATTGTCAAGCTGATTCAGAAATAAACGTACAGAATTACCACAGTCCACTCAACGCCAACTACATTTTTTGCGGGCGCGCTTAATTTCGTTAGCGGAGCACGGCGCTCCGTGACATCCACTTGTCCGTCGAAACGGACCTCCTTCACGTCGTACACGCGGCCAGATTCACGAAGGAGTTTTCCCTTCTTCATATTGGTGCCAGGGAAGAAGCTTTCTAGATTCGTAACCGCCTTAAACCCCGTCGTAATCACCCCGGGGACACTGTCCGCTGTGCTGCTCATCGCCATTGCTTCCCCCCGATGATTCTGCACCGGCTACCGAAGAAGCTTTCCGGATTCGTAATCGCCCACTGTCCTGTGTGGTGTTCGTTGCTATTACTTCCCGATGATTCTGCGCCGACGGCACCGGCTACCGAAGGAACTTTCCGAATTCGTAACTGCCTTAAATTCCTTCGTAATCACGACGGGGACACTGCCCGCCGTGCTCTTCATCGACATTGCTCCCCGATGCTCCTGCGGCGGCTACCGCTAGGTCGCGGCGAACAATAGGCGACCGCCGCGACACGGCCGGCTTGCTCGCTTCCTATTACTCCGGGGTGATAAACGGGGAAACCATCACCTCGTACAAATTCATTGTGTTTTATTTGGTCGTACTTTACTTTCACGTCTCCTTGACCGCCCGAACTGCCACTTTGGTTATTTGGCAACGACAATTTACGTATTAATTGAACCACAGGGATACACCCCTAATCTTCAAGAATGATTATTAGATGTACCACTAGACATCTTGGAGACTATCTCATATGCGTATGGCCGCAGATTCTGGGCTGGTTGAAAGCCCGCTAGAACAAGAAGTTATCTTCACGGAGTAGGCAGGTTGGACCAAAGAATGCACCGACGGATCTACTAGCCCAGCGACTGAGACTGCCAACGTAGCACTCTACAGGCGTGATCAAAATCTTTGTTTTGAATATGGATTAAACTTTGCCACAAGTTAGACTATACAGGAGCTGCTTGTCATTTGGGGGGGGGGGGGGGGGGGGGGGGGGCTTATATTTACACGTGAGAACCGCGGCAGGGAGTGGATGCCAGATGAGCCCGTTGCCTTTTTCAAGATCTCGAATCCGGCATCCCCTTAATTGCAACAGCTGTAGCAGCTGCCAGATTGGCTGAGAGGATGAACTGGCAGCTTGTTCTTAGTGGCTGCCTGCACACACTGGACCAACTGGGAACAAAAAGACATTAAAGGCCCACCAGCTTGATACACCCACTCTCTTTCTTCGTGGATACAACGAGGCAAGACGGCTTATTCGCGACTTCTACCCTAAGCGCCACCCGTACCAGTGAGAGACTGCCTCCTCTTGGGATTCCCCGCAAGCTTCCACGAGTGAAAGCATCGTTGTTGCAATATCAACCTCGCACAAGCTTCTACGGGTTAATGATTCCACCTGCTTGTGCTACAAAACACGGGAGGATATCAGACAAGTCATTTTTGACTGCGCAGAGCACGAAGAAGAGTGCAAGTCTTTGGTAAAGTGCTACGCCTCAAGTGGTCTACCCTGCTCTTAGACTCAAGAGTTACTCATTTCAGTAGCAAAAAGTCGATTCGTCCACAGAGTTTGCAAATACCTTCTGTACTATTTACCAGAGTCTGCTTTAATTGATCGTATCTAAATATTTAGCCCCAAAACTCGACTGTCCCCTGAAAAAGTTTTAAACTTGCGACAGTCATCGCGCGTTTAACCTAGATGTTATCTAGATTTCTATCCTATACCGATTAGCCACCTTTCGGCTTCCCCCATTTCCTAACCAGGTAGCGACTTACACCGTAGAGGAGGTCATCATGTCTCCCGGCTGTCCCCCGATTTCTCGGTGCCTCAAAACACCAAATAAAACAAAACCTGATGAAATTAGGGGGGCGCTAAACCACTTTCAGCAATAGGTGATATACGGTCACAGCTCAAGCTACAATCTCCCAACATCCTAAAAAAATATATTACTTCCGCACGTCGCCCAATTCACTGTTAAAATATATATAAAACGTTGATTACATTAGAACTGTCCCAGACACCAGAGGGCGCCGTCGGACGAAGCGAGGCAGAGCGACTGCCGCTGGGCAGAGTTGGCCTGACTCTTATAGCGGGATGTGCGGTGCTTTCACGCCCTCCTCCCGCTTGAGCGCACGAGCGCCCCCACAAATTTTATATAAATTGAACGTCTGGAAGCGAGCGACTTCTTTTGCTTCTCCTAGAGAGCCTCAATTTTAGCGAGGGCACACCTTAAACAATAGGGAGCGTTTGAAACCTCAAGGCGGACACCTCCTGCGATGCTTGGTCGCAATTGCGCATGCGATGCCTAGTCGTGTGGCGAGAAGGAAAGCCGGAAAAAGGCAGACACTCTTGCTGACGACCAACGCGTTTGCCACATCCTTGCTGTTCGTATTGCAAATGCGGCCCATGAACCATGTGACCCTGATCGATCAGTTGGAAACTCTCTGTAGTACCGGCTCTCTATACTCCAGATCTGACTATGCGCATCCATGTTTCGTTTTATTGGGATGCTTCGAGCCCATAAATTGAGGTATGACCTTAAATAGGTTATCGCAGAACCTGGTTTAATGAAAATTCTCTGGACGTCGATATTTTAGTCTAAGCTTTGAGCAAGCATTTGGCGAACTTGATAAAATTAATACTTGAAGCAAGGCTTATTTGGACAAAACATGAGCGGCAATCATCTCACACTAATACATTTTTTTAAGACCACATCAAGAAACGACTTGCTTAAAATATTGCTTGAGTCAAAATATGATACGTTTGGTTAGTTTCCGTAGATAGCTTAATTCAAAGTTATTTAATAATAGTGAACTCCGTACAAAATAAATACCAGTTTACTCTATTTTTTTCGGGATACAATTAACGTCGAAATGCTGCGACATCTCTAACGTCGTCTCATCTCATCTTCGTAAAAAAAAAAAAAGATAGCCTATTTTTTACAGTGCGCTATTTTCAAAATCATTACGCCCCGATGAGCTAAATGTTAGTATCCCCCGTTGCAGTACATCAATATTCAATGCCTCCCTAGCTCAAACCTCGGCTAAGTGAAATTGTATACCCGCAGCCGTAGTTACAATAGGTAACGCCGTTGATTTCGCATATTTAATTACGAATATGTTAAATGGCGTTTTCTACTATATTGTATGTTTGTCTTCTTATTGTATTCACTTTTATTTTGATGTTACTGAGCCCATTTGGCTTTGAGATACCTGCGAGATCCCAGAGAAAATAAAATATTTTAAACTCTCTATTTGTAAGAAATGGCGAAAACTAAGAAATAGTTCACTCTTACCTTAATTTGCACATTTGGAGCTGGAAATCCAATGCCGTACCACTTTGATGCATCCATTGGGGGCGTACAAATTTCGCCAGTTTCTGTACTTCCATAAACGTTCCTGATTATTGCCAGATCAAACGACTGCTCTATTTGTCTCATAGTCTCATACGTGGCAGTTGTACCACCTAAAAAAACTTTCTTGACAGAATCCAATCGGATGCCTTTTTCCTGAATCTTCTTGGCGAGCTCCAACATCATGGTCGAATTCCCCAACACTGCTGTTGCCTGCACAAATATCAAAGTAATGGCGGAAAGAATGAAACTCATAACTTCAAGTTAGTTTTTTTTTTTATGGTAGCAGAAGCCGTATGGACTGAAATTAATATATTGACTGAAATTGATGTACAGTGTTTTATAATATAACACTAAACACAGAATACAATAAAAGCAAGAAGGGTATGTGTATTTCATGGATTGTTCCGAGGTTGGGTGTACTACAATTATATCAAATGTGAATTCTCTGAGACACACATATCAAATCTAAAATTATCCCTACGAAACAACACTAAATATTTACGACTTGTGATGGCTCGAGAGCACCTTATTTGAAAACTATTAGCACTGTACTCTGTAGCCTTCGTTGCGGTATTTCACCTAAGATATGGGGAGCGCATGTTCCTCACCTTCTTGCTCAGGGGTTGTGATGACGTCGGATCGCCAAACTCTTATTACCTGATTCATAAAAAAGTAGTGAGTAGACCACAATGCACCTAGAATTGATATCTACCCACCATATTTTAAACAAAGAGCCACTCAGAGCTCGGCGTCGTTCTGAAATTACCGAAACTCTTGCACAAGAAGACGACGACAAACTCTCCGCATACCGAGAGAGGCTGAGAGAATGGAGGAGATTATATTGCTCGGAGACGTCAAAGCGCCGAGCTGTGATTGGAAAGGTTAGTGGGTAGACGCCAAGGCTGGCTGCATTCGTCTCTGCCCACCCTGTTCATCCAATTAGACGGAACAAGTGCGATCGTCTGTTCCTCGCTCAGTGTCTCACGTTCGAACGTCGGGCGCCGGTCGCCCGTGTTTCAACGTGTTCTGAACAGTGAGCAGAGACAAAGGCAGCTAGCCTCTGCGTCTACCCACTAATCCGACCAGTCAAAGCTCGGTGCTTCGGCATCCCCACGTGATCTCATCTTCTCCTCACCCTCAGTTTTTCTACGTATAAGGCTTGTGTCGTCTCTTTTCAGGATGCTCCTGACGGGCACGCCCATACTAATCCAGAATTATGAGTTGTCATAACTCATGAGCCTATTTATCGAAAGCTCGCCTGACCACGTTCTTCTGATTTGAGTGTTGTGCACAGCAGACTTTCATTGGACAGGAAAGCACTGTACAAACTGCTCTTGTTTTTTTTTCTTATTAGATTAAATGACTATGCTCTAACAGCAAACAAACGGCCAGACAATTTAGCACTCAAATATTGTTTTCGTCTATTTTTACCGTTGCTTGATTGCAGACCCAAACAGGTCTGGGACAATAAAGCATAACATATACGTAATCTTTTAAAGGCGGTGTGCACAACATAGTATTTGTGCATAACATAAACAAATACGTGACCGACATTCTATAATGCATTTATTAACTCTGCTTGCAAGCATAAACAAATGCGCTATGTCAGACAATATCATAAATGTTTGACAATGGTCCATACCAACAAATCTGCATTACACAACCCTTTAGCGATATGAAAGAGAAATCGAGAGGCCTGCAGAGTCGGGATGTGATAATGTAACCATGTTTAATGAACATATTAGCATTGGAGATGATGAGCATAACATACCTTGTTCTTCGTGATGGCGTCTAGGACTTCTGTTGTGCTGGCTGTTTTCGGTAATAGAACAATCGTCGTTCCAGATGCCCATGTTCGCAGGAAAGTCCGATACCCAGAAGACGACGTAATAGGCACCCGGAAAACAACAATATCTTGGTCATTGTAGAGGTTATGAAGCCTTAAAATTTCAAGAAATAAAAAGTATAATTAATTGCCTTTGCAAGACGACTACTATTACTATAATTCTTTCAACGAACACCAAACGTACATTTTAAACGGGATATAATTTACTCCTTTCAAAATTTCATCGAGCAACATTGGTGGTCAACATGCCTTGGGCACATGATGCGAGGGATTGAATTAAGTCCTCGCGTAGCGCTGACACAGCGCTTGTGCCCAATACAAGCTCAGAGTATATGCGCTAACAACGGCGAACAGGCGGTGGCGCGCACTCTCGAAAAGGGTCTACTACTATGCATTTATGATCGCAAAAGGAATTGGCGCTATATTGAAAAAAACAGAAGTTTGCAGGTCCTAGAGACAACAGATCAGTCTAAAAAAATTAATAAAAAAAAACAAAAGAACTTCTGCAATGTAGAAGGGACGTTACACCATTTCTCGGCGCGATCGCATTTAGGAACATGAAAACCATACCGCACACAAATAGTAGTAGGTTTGGGGCAGTTCTTGTGATCTAATGTCTGGATTGGATAGCGTATGTGTTTGTCGGTATGTACACCGGCTTTTGTGATAAAGACCATGACGGTTATGCCATTATTTGATTGTTTAGAAAGAAACCTGCCTCGCTGTGAGGTTCTAGAACTCTGTTGCAGGTTAGGAAAAGAAGGACAAGACCCTCCCGGGAAACCTATCTCCTTCCTCTTGAGCAGAGCGTACGTAGGAGAGGAGGCAAGTGGACTCGCCTTCCTTCTCGCCTTGACTCCTGCGTGTGCTTGCAAGAGTGGAAGCAGTGAAGGATTTTCCGGTAGGACTTTGTCCTCTTAACCTGCAACAGAATATAGCGGGGGTGCGGTTATTACAAAAAAAAAAAAAAAAACAGAAACATTCATAAAACTTCAGTGCAATATAACCAACATACTTAAACAAATAAAACTAGTCTAGAAATATGTATCCATGTCTTGCACGTGACACCATTCAACGAGCGCTTCGATGACCACCAGAGACGAGAGAAAGAAGGAACTCCCCTCTTAACAGGATCCTTTTTGGTGCCTCCCGGATTTGCACAGACGTCGCTATACTCCTCTTAGAGGAACATGGAAGATTAGCCCGTCACTCAAAATTCTCACAAAAGCAGCCTCTCTCTCCTCCTCTTACATGGTAGTCGAAAGTGTGCGGTGTGACGTCAGTGCAAGCCATGTATTTGTAAAAGCATTACTGTAATAAAAAAATATATTTTCTATGAAGTCACCTAATATAACAAGGTAATTATCTATCAAACACCTGAAATATAAAAAACATAATCGAATACAACCGGGATCTAAAAAAACATCATGCATCAAACAACCTAAAAAATATGTAAGACACTGCTTTAAAAAAAATTCCAAAACTAAATCGTTAGGCACTCTGTTCCATTCGTCGATTGTTTTCGAGAAAAAAAATGAGATCAGTGCGACATGAGGTCGGAATTTAGCTGGGGTGGTACGCTCTTCCTGATACAGAAAACGGTTCCTGTAAAAACGAACTCATAGTTATTAATAATTTATTGTTACAAATAATGCCAATAAAGTTTAATGTAAACTTTGCCGAGAACGCATTGGCGAACGTTCTAAACTGGGTTTCAGCGTGAGTCGAGACGCAACACATGCTACGAGGTCATCGCGCCAATCAAACATTGCAAAATCGCGTCACTGGGCCTTTTCTGTTTATGATTGATTCAATGATAGTAGCACATACATAAGTCTGACGAACACCATCATGGTGCTTTTTGACGATGTCCGATTGGTCATATAAGACCGGAGCGTGGGCTGCGTCTAAACTTCAGGCGAAATGAAGTACAGAACCAACCCGGGGCAAGGTAAACTGGGCATCAGGCTCATATGCGTAAGTTCAATGGCCTTCGGGATACCGGTTGTTCCGGATGAGTAACCCAGCACAGCCACTTCGTCTTTCACGTTCTCCACCACAAACTCCTCGTAACTGTTTTCATCCAACTTCTTGAATTCCGTCACTGAAACAAATCCTGGTGCAGTTCCTGTAGTAAAGCAACCCTGGAAGCACGAAGCATGTACGTAATCATGAAATCCCGAAAGATTAGTCACTGTTGGATGGAAAACATTCCCACAAGAATGAATGAATCAAAATTAGTCTGGCAAATATGCACATATGGTTCACTCATAACCCTCCCCCCCCTCCTTGTATAGCTTCAAAGGTTGAACAGTTTAATTAGTGTCAAAAGAATACTTCCCCTGTAATTAAAAAAAAAAAAAAAAGATTATAGAGCTCCACTAACTAAATTTATGTTGAGAAGTCACTAAAAATCAACTCTCCTTTTTCGACGCAGAGTACCTGACTAAAGTCGTGCAGATTATATAATAAGGCCCTAAGGCAACCGAAGGACGTTTATTTCTTATTATTTCGCAAGTTTCGAAGCTTTTACTTTAGCTCCGCGAATCGTTTTTGTTGTTTCTTTTTTTAACAACTAATAATTCCAATTATTTTATGATAAAAAAACATTTATAATAAATGATGCTTGGTACCGGCTTGTACTATGCAATGGAAATTATTTTTAATAAAGTATGGGAATATTTCTGTCTGAAAATATTAATCACTTCAATTTTAATTCAAAATGTCGGGTATTTTGCAATATTTCGAACGCAAAAAAAAAACTGAGTAAAAGTTTAGCGTAATTGCTAGACAAGTTAAAACGTGTAGGCGCGAAATCTTCGTAGCCGTTAATCTCAATGGCGCTTTTCCACCGCAGGCTGAGTTCCAGAGGACCGCCTAACCTTGCCAAACTTTGACAGTCCTAGTGCCCTAACTCTGGTACATTAAGCTTTTGCTTCAAGGCCTCAGCCAGTGCGATAGTAATTTTCTTTGTCTTTTCTATTACCTTTTTCAGATTTGTCATATAACTGCCCAAGTGTCAGAGATATGCCAAAGATGCCAGGTACCAAGCGAACAGCCAACGGTTAAAGCAAATTCTGGCAGTTGTTTGACAAATTAGGGACAAAGTTTTTAGGTAAAAACTGAACCAAAAGTAAGGATGAGCTGTGGCCTTTCCTCGGGAGTCGAGGCCCACAAAAATAAGGTGATGACCGAACCACCAGGCACCGAAGCTTAACACTCGCACTTATACACCCTACTCACAACTTCTCACAACAATGGGAAGGGGGAAAGCTAGATCTGGCTGGCTAAACTGGGCAGCGGACGCCATCTTGAAAGTTGCACCCGGTATGTGTACGTTGCCTCAATACGGGTTTCGTGGTTTTGTGACGAGGTCGTGTGTTGAATAAAACTGCTGTTTCTTTATCTCGCTGGCACAATTTGACTTTTCTTTTTTCTTTTTTGCTCGGAGAAAGAACAACAGAGCAAGTGGTACTATTAATTTTTTAAAGGTAAAAGTTGATTCGTTCCTTCAACGCCCTTTATGTTTTTCGGTGATGCGCTCGCAGCCACCTTGTTGTAAAAGGTAAGTGAGAGATCGTGACTACGAGATCTCAAAGCTTGTTGTTGCATCATACTGTTATTTTAGAGCGAGGGTCTCCAAGTCCGGCCCGGGGGCTTTATCGGACCCGTGGAGGCCTTCCCACCTGCCCGCGGCTGGCCGCCATGGTTACAGCGACGCCCGGCCCACGTCCTTTTTCCAGTAGGCCCGCTGGCGCAAAAAAAAAAAAAACGCCAGTAAATAAACGGCCCATCGACGCTTACCAAATGCTTCGTATTCATTCTGGTTCTTATTCCTCCGGTAGCTTTGTGCCATATTTATTTCACATTATTATCCCCGGCATTTCCTCTCTTGGTTCCCGTTTGATGTCTGTGTAACTATGTTAAGATTATTATGCGTTCCCATGTATAATGTGCCCAGTGACCCGTGTCATAAGTATCTCCTATTTTCATCATCAGTCGATTCACTCTTATCAGTATTTGGCATTCTCCAAATATGCCCATCTTCCAATGCGCTTTAATTTATGCTCGGTAAATGTTTTCTGGGCTACGAATATTGCAAAATATCATAATCATAGTCGGTTGCAAGCTAAGAACAATCTTTTAGCTCCACCCACAAGCGCATTGCGCCCATCTGAAGTGCCTCCACCGTCGAGAAAGTAGTTCGCTAGCAACGTTGCTTTTTCTTCCTCCAGGAAACGTGTCTTAAACTACTACAATATTTATTTAATTCATTCAGGACATTTAAATAAGTTAGAATACGTTTTTGTCAACGAAATAGCTGTTTAGTAAATAAAGAAAGTCATGTACAATGTACCGTCTTCCCAATTCATTTTCTGTCCAAGATACTGTCTAACATACCGTCTTCCAGCTCTCAGCAGTGCTAAGCCTTGCGCCCGCTTCAAAATTTTCGTTGGCGATAGCGTCGCTGGATTCTCATGTTGTCGCGGAAAAACTGCTGCAAACGCAAGCCGATACCATTAAGATTTCGTGGCGTAACCTCGGGCACGTAAAACACGGTGCAAAAAAGCAGAATAATTGTCACGAGAAACTAGCGTCGCGTTGCTAAGGCCAGCAGCCATGTTGAGCTTTTTTTTTTTTTCAAAAGGATCGCGATTGGTCCACGGAATTGTGACGTCATGAAAACGATTGGCTGGCGTTTCTCGGCGTAGGATTACATTTTCCTCTGAGAGGCATTTCCGGTTTTTTCTTAGCTTGCAGCCGACTATAGGCAGATATTAAATCATGTTATATCTTGGACTACATTACTCTCAAGTCTTGATATTAGCATGTAGGTTTCCTAATAATACACCTTAGATTATTTTTAATCTTTTAGCATGGGGATATATATTTTGATTTCCTTAATTTAAATTTGTATATAGGTCGTCCTATTAAGCGTTTTTTTCTTGTTTATATTCACTTGCCTATTTTTGGCCCTCGCTAGTGCGACATACACCTAATCCGGCTCCTGAGCCATAACGTTTGGAAAACCCAGATCTAGAGTAGTAGTAGTAGTAGTAGATTGGGGTTTTGTGGCGCAAAAGGTACTAAGGCTATGATGCGCCAAGAAATGATACTATTGCGGAAGACGATTTTGGAGAAGAAAGAGCTTTAAGAGCTGGTAATTTGCAAAATGTATAAATTAAGAGTAGCACCTCGCATTATAAATAATGCTACAATTTGCGTAAAAGATCAACACTTTTTAAAAACTTAAAAAATTGGAAGGGTGGGAGTAGTGGCTCATTTCCAAGTAACAGACATAGGTGTAAAGAAACATGCTCTTATTGCAGTTGGAAAAAGTAGTGGAGGCGTTTTTCTTCATACGCAGGACATTCTGCAAGGATATGTGAGACACTTAGCGGTTCCTGGCGATGTTCACATTCAAGAGGGTCCTCCCCACGTAAGAGGTGTCCGTGCGTGAGCCGCGTGTGTCCTATCCGTAGTCGACAAAGGACTACCTCATAAAACCTGTCTCTGTGCCTAGCACTATGCCACTCACTAAGAAAAGGCTTAATCCTGTGCAGTTTGTTTGACACCTGTAGGCTCCATTCTGCTTGCCACTGGGCTTTAACATGGTATTTAATTAGGGCACAGTAATCTCTGTATGGTATGCTACTAATGTCTACAGCACGGGAGCCAGAAGTGCACGCAGCACGATCTACCTCTTCGTTCCTTGGGATTCCGACATGGCTCGGTACCCAGCAGAATAGAACATTACATTCTTTCCTGGTTGCTGCTACTATTTCGTTTTGTAATAAAACAACGAGGGCATGCTTTGGAGCTTAAAGCGATGTCAGAGCCCGTAAAGCACTCAGCGAATCGGTATATATAACTGACCGAGAGTTACTTGTTTGGATGATATGATCTACTGCAAGCAGAAGGCCATGCAGTTCAGCAGTGAAAACAGTAGCGGACAAATTAAGCCTACGAACACTTCTTACTAAAGGGCCAATCATGGCACAGCCAACAAATGATTCAGTTTTTGTGACGTCTGTGTAGTAGTGGGAATGAGAATCGTGTTCCTTGTGGAGTTCGAAAAATTCTTGTCGCATGACCTCAGTTGGGGTATCCTTCTTATTGAACTTTGTTAATAAAAAATCACAGCGTACGCAGTAAAAATCCCATGGTGCCACCGTCCTTGCAACTGTATCAACTGGGAGCTTACAACCTACCCCAATAGACTCTGCCAAATTCCTGTTTCTCATCGCAAATAAAGGTATAAAGCTAGGCTTGTTTTCGAATGTCTTCTGATATTTAGTGCCCTCCACAGCCTCCCGGGCTGGATGCTGAGTGACTGATCGTATCCTTAACGAGTACATAAATCCCGAGGATAATAGCCGGCTGTCAAGAGACATCTCATTTCCCTCAGCAAAGAGACTGAGCACAGGTGACGTTCTGAAGGCTCCGATTGCTAAACGAAGTCCCTGGTGATGAATGGGGTTCAGTGCATTAAGAGCTGATTGCCTAGTAGATCCGTATACAAAGCTGCCGTAGTCCAGACGTGAGCGAATCACAGAGCGATAAATTTGTAAAATACATAGACGATCAGAGCCCCATGTCTTGTGGGACAGAACTTTAAGGAGGTTAGTGATTTGTCACATTTTATTTTCAGATTCTTCATGTGAGATATGAAGGAGAGTTGACGGTCGAAAATAAGACCCAGAAACGCTCCTTCTTTACCGGGATGGTAGTCTGGTGCATTCGTAAAGAAGGCTCTACGGAGATTCCCCTTTTCCGAGAGTAGCAGACACACCCTGTCTTATCAGGAGAAAACCTAAACCCATTTTCGTGTGCCCATTTCAAGAGGTTGTTGATTGCAACTTGGAGTCTACGTTCACAAATGGAAATATTGCACGATGAAACGGATATCTGGAGATCGTCCACATAAAGAGAATATTGCACAGATGGAGGCATAGACCGGGCTATTGAGTTCATGTTGACTATAAAAAGAATAACACTCAAGACAGCGCCTTGCAGAACTCCAGTCTCCTGAACAAATTCTCTGGAGAGAGCAGCGCCCAACTTCATAAAAGAGGTTCGCTCAGATAGATAGCTCTTTATGATAGCAAGCAAACTCCCACGTACCCCTACTTCATACAAGTCA